GTCGAAAGCGACCGTGAACTCTATATCATCAAATGTGCACTGACGCTCTCATGGATTAGGGACATCTTGCCGGTTCGTAGGGAATCGATTGCTGAGTGTCGCCTTCGATCTGTTCGGCTAATCTGCCAACAGGTTTGGTACACATGCAGAAGCGAAAAAAGCAATGTCTTCGAGTAAAGTCAAAGTGGAGGGATATGCATTCTCAAGGGGCAGGGTAAGCAGCATGTAGAAGATCCACATGATAGCTGATCAATGATTGGGGTCGTGTCGCCCTCGGCAGCAATCTTTCGGTCTTATCGATGCATGTCAGACTCAAGTGATGCAACATCGTCATGCACGCCTGTAGCTCTGTCGGTAAGGCTATCTGGATTTTGGCCTATATCTGGGGAAAGGAACTCAGCCAGCACAAACTATTATTTAAACCCCCTGTGGTGATCGAGGTGACCCGGAATGCCCCTTTCCCGGAATATTTTGACGACAGATATTGACCACCAACGAGAAGTCTTGTCCTCTTAGCTTCCCGTATTTTCGATTAAATTGTCATTATGTGGAATGCATACGACAAGAAAGTACTCCTTGTCACGGGGGGTACAGGGTTTCTGGGGACAACCCTCCTCTATCGCTTGCTCACTGAAGCGACTCCTGCTCGAGTTTACGTTGTCTGTCGCGGCGGCCGCAAGTAAGTGTGACCCTAGTAGTCCAATTAATCATCACCTAAAACAATACCTAGGAGAGCATTTGAAAGATGGCTCGAGCACTTACCAATGACAATCTTTCAGCCAGTCTTTCAGACGGCAAACTCGATCGCTGTTCTCGACGGGGATATCACTCAACCTCGAATGGGTCTTTCAGAGTCAGATTGGAAGAACCTCGAAAATTCAGTGCATATCGTTGTTCATGCAGCATCATCGATCAATCTTATGAGTAGACTTCCGGCAATGTCAAAGTCAATCATCATCCCCACCGTATCACTAGCAGGGCTAGCACTTGATTTTGTGAACCTCGAGCGCTTCGTTTATATCTCAAGTGCGTATTCCAACTCGCATCTCTGGAAGCCACAAGCCCCGGCTACGGATGTGGCTGTGAGAGAGAAAATGTACCCTCTTGGTGGGGACACGGAGGACTGGGCTCAATCCACGCTGAAGGCATGGGAGGAAATTCAAGCTAGAGCCAGCAGCACTGAATATGAGTCGCAAGACCTTTTCCCCTGGGCCTATGGTTATGCCAAGCATCTCACCGAACGCCTGTTGGTCCATCGCTTTTCCGAAGCAGGCGCCTCAGATAAGTTGCTCATCATCCGACCGTCCATCATGGGCCCTGCGTGCGAGTTTCCTTTCCCAGGATTCTGCGTGCCATCATCCACCCCATTTTTCACTGTGACAGCCATGATCATCCCTGATCCGGGACGTGAGATCGTCTTCAATTCTCGGCTCCAGGATCCTTACCACCAAGCCACACTGGATGAGGTTCCCATCGATGTGGTCGCCGACCGCCTGTGGGCTCATCTGGCTCTGGGCACTACGGAATTTGTGCATGCTGTTAGTGGGAAATCCCACCGATGGCATTGCAGGGACTGGTGGCCGGTCATCATGAAGGAGCGAGTGCTGCCCTGGAGACCCAGAATGGTCTTCGAGCACCTGGACTGGCAATCACCGAGGCAGCATCCGGCTGCTCGCCTGGGGGGTGTCGTTGGCACGTCGTTCGATTTTGTCGAGGATAAGACCCGGCTCCTCGCGGAGTTGCTGAGCACGCAGGTTCATCAGCTCCGGCTCTTCACCGAGCCACGGGCTTTCTCCTTCGGTGCGGCCCGCGACTACATGCGCGCGCTGGTGCGGGCCAACGCAGAGCGTAAGACGCCGTCGAATTTGCGGGCCAATCTATAGCAAGTGCAGTATGATTTTTTTTTTCCGTCTTTCTTGGCGCCGCTTTGAGGTGTTTCGCGTTTGTACGTATGCTGCATGGGTCTGGAACATGGCGGAGCCTCACCCAGTATGTCAGGGAGGTTCGGGCACGAATCTGCTTTGAGATATTGTTATTCTGGCGACCACAATGTATAAGATGTCATTCTCAGAGAGTTTGTAGATACTCGTCTTCAAAGTCTAATAGTAAATGAGGATGGAAGTTCATGGTAGGTGTGTTGGTTCGGGAAACAGAGGCCTCGACGTCCGAGGATAGATTTGGGTTAGCCGATGGCTCCAACCCGCGCACTTCCTTCCATCTCTCCAACTGTGCATGGCAAGGTGGGAGAACCAGCAGTGGTGATTGCCAGCCCTTGCTACATGCCTTCAGGCTCTACCCTCTAGCTATCTGGCTACCATTGTTTGGTAGGTTCACAAGGTAATTCAAGGCAATGAATTGAAAAAACATTTTCCGGAGCTGACTTGAACTACGGGCCATAACAACATGAAAGACATAATCATCTCGCTAGATCTCAGTTTGCTTCGCGTTCTGCTTGTCTGTCTCGATCTTGTCCAGGTGCTTATCCAAGCATCCCAATATTTGTCGACGTAATACTAAGGCATCAGATTTCTCAAGCTCCTGCAGCTTGCTGAACAAACGACCCCAGTGGACGTCCCGTCTCGTGACAGCCTGTATCTCGTAGAATAAATCAAGAGAGATTCTAGGACGCCAGAATAAAATACCAAGGCGAACAGCTAAAATCGTTTCTAGACTTCTGGCCTCCTGTGACGAAAGGTATTCAGCGACCATGTAGATTAGCTCAAACGGAAGGGCCCGGAGTCCAGTCTGGCGGTCTACAGGCTGGAGTGTATGTCGTAGATTCTTTGCCTTGCCTGCTGCCTGTTTTCTATACCACTCCGCTTCGTTGATTTCAGCATAGATCGTGTCAAAGACGGAAGGTGTGTAGAAAGGGTCTGCTGTAGATGGGGGATCTATCGCGTGAATATCAGACATCAGTGATCAAGCAGCGACTATGAGCATCCAAAGGCAAGAAGCACTTTACCTTTCCCATAAGCGTACGAGATCTGAAATTCCATCCATCGGTGCTGAAAGGCTACCAACAGAGTAGACAAGTCTGTCTCAGCAAGCGCCTTCAAGCGATGGGTGTTGAGTAGTTCCCAACAGCACGAGTGAACCACATAACCGAAACACAGTCTTTCGCTCCGTCGCCCTCGACAATTCGGACGATTCCTCCGTGGTTTCCTGGGTAGACACTCCATGAAGTAGAGTAGGGCTTTAAAGCAACTCAGGGGTACGTCGTCCGTGAACATCTCAGACGCCTGGCTACAGGACACATAGCATCCACGGTGATGTGTATCGTTTATAACTGGATGCATATGTCACTCGATCAGTTCACGTGGAAAGGGGTTTCCTGTGCATCTACCGGAGACACTAACTCAGCCGATACGTGTCTTCCCAGTTCGACTTCGTCGTGTGCGAACCGACAGCTTTCTTGAATTTACCATGTTTGCGCGGGACCATGTGGGCCAGGGTCAAGTTCTGAGAGTTGAAAGCCCAATACCCGCATATCAGGCAAAATATGTTGGCTACTCTGACCCATAATTCGGTGTCCTCCCAGTCGGCGGTTGGGCCTGGAATAGGCTCAAACTTGAGGATCACCCCCATGTTGCCATGAGTGCTTGGAAGATGCTTGATTGTCAGAGCCAGGACGGTGAAGATGCTGTTTGAGAAAGGGAAATGGTTCGTCTCATGGTGAAGTCAGGTAAGGGTGACGTGGAAGAGGAGAAGTGCTGGAGAAGTGTTCCGGACGGGAACCTTTCAGTCGAGCCCAATCGATGAGGCTGCATCGACTCTCGTCTCCATCTCCATCCCCTTCATGGCCAGAGAAGTCTAGACCTCAAACCTTGTTCGCATGATAGTACTGACTTGAGAAGCACAAATGTTTCCGCACTTTCTGTGGAAATGAGCTGACCTTTCCTCATTTCCGGCAGTGATGTCCGTCCTACGTACCTCTTCAGCCGCCCTCGACGTCAACGTCTCCTATCCCAAGCCCACGCAGCAGCACTTAGATATACAAATAAGGACCTCGTGGTCAGATAACTGCAAATTATTCCGGGGTCCAAGATGTATTGGCCTCCACCAGCTTGTTCCACCCTCTCGGGACGGCACTTCACCGTACGGCCTGTGACGGAGATCATCCAGAAATGAGGATACGGGGTATCAGAACTTCGGTTCCTCTCGACATAGACCGGCGCGAATACGTCCAGACTACTAGTACATATAGATAGTCTTTGACCTTCCAAATAGCGTCGACGATCCCGCCTTGGACTCTCGCGATCCGTGACGATCCGCTATCGTGCTCTCGCCTGCATTTGCTCGTCTCGGAATTTGGGGTTCCCAACGCACCGGTCGCGTTATCTCGCGTTATCCGGACGACAATCTCTTGCACCTTTGCAATGAGGTGCATTTCTTTTGCCCAGACGTACGCGTCCCCAAAAGCCAACGGAACCACGTTGGCAGCTACCTCCGCTTAGGTGAGATTTAAGTTTATCACTCCCGATTAATCATCAAATAGTGACAGCCTGGAGGGCATTCATCGGATCCGTGTTTCATGGCTCCTGATGCAAAATCTGAACGGTTGCCCAACGTCCCGGGGGGAAAATATGACGGGAGCTGAGGGATCCGATTTGAGCTGGTCTCGGTTGTGAAGCCTTCCGCCATCCGGGCCCACTTTGTGATCTCATTAGATTCACCACCTGCCAACGAGACGAACGACATGCTTTTCGGACCCATACTCTAGACTCCATAAGCCTAATATTCCAATCCCGATGAGAAACGGCCCCTTACAATTGGCTGCGATTTCAGTATCCAGTATCTAGACCTCCGGCTAAGATTCAGGGGAGATCCCGAACGTTCTCTGAATCTCAGGCTCCGGTTCCCCATGGCTTATCAAGCATAGTAGGTGCTTAGCATAATCGATGCATACTTCGGTCAGATCAGTGTGACAGCAAATGAAATTGGCTGCCTGTTTCATTCTTAAATCTAGAAAATCTCCTCTTCTCCAATCTACCTCTCGTCGCTAATCCACATGGTAGAACCAGTCTAATTCAGCATGTCGATAGAAAAACCGCCAATGGAGCCTGAGCTCCATGCAGACAACCAAGGGAGAAGCTTCCTTGAATCACAATCACAGTCGTGGTCTTCACCTTCCATATCTGCATCTGCATCAGGTCAACCTGAACGAAGACCGACCGATCCAGCTCACGCCCATTCTATCTCTTCCACAAGCTCCACTACTGAAACCGAGGTCGAACACCACCAACCCAGAAATACCCACCGTGCATCGCTGAACCCGAACGACGAGGCCTACCTCACCAAACTTGTCAGCGCAGACCACAGCATTGCTCGAGTCAACACCCTAGCTAATATCCCCACGAACGACCCGGCACTCAATCCAGATAGCAAAGACTTCGATCTTTACAAATGGCTGCGGAAGATCTCACACTTGCTGAACGAGGGAGGAATCCAGCAAAAGGAAGCGGCCATCTACTTCGAGAACCTCCGAGTGTCAGGGACTGGATCGGCACTGCAACTTCAACAAACTGTGTCAGACTTGATTACAGCGCCCCTGAGGCCGCGTGAAATCTTCAATCTGGGTCCCAAGACCCCCAAGCAGATCCTACGGGGCTTTGATGGCGTGTTGGAGAGTGGGGAGTTGCTGCTGGTGCTGGGGCGCCCTGGGTCTGGCTGCAGTACATTTCTCAAGACGCTCTGTGGCGAGTTGAATGGACTGGACCTGGACCCCGCATCAGTGATCCACTACAGTGGTATTCCCCAGAAGACGATGATCAAGGAATTCAAGGGTGAAGTTCTCTACAACCAGGAAGGAGACAAACACTTCCCGCACCTGACCGTGGGACAGACGCTGGAATTCGCAGCATCCGTTCGGACACCCTCAAAGCGTCTACAGGGCATGTCCCGAAAAGAGTATGCCACGATGATGACGAAGGTAGTGATGGCGGTGTTCGGCCTAAGCCACACGTACAACACTAAGGTGGGAAGCGACCACGTCCGTGGTGTATCGGGTGGTGAGCGAAAGCGTGTCAGTATTGCAGAAATGGCTGTCTCGGGAGCCCCCATCGCTGCGTGGGATAACTCGACTCGCGGTCTGGATTCAGCGACTGCGCTGAAATTTGTGCATGCATTACGACTGTCAGCCGATCTAGGATCGTCATTGCATGCGGTCGCTGCCTACCAAGCTAGCCAAGCGATCTATGATCTCTTCGACAAGACCGTGCTGCTCTACGAGGGACATCAAATCTACTACGGATCGGCCGCCAAGGCAAAGGCTTTCTTTGAGCGCCAGGGATGGTTCTGTCCTCCACGCCAAACAACCGGTGATTTCCTGACTTCCGTTACCAACCCGGTTGAACGGCAGCCAATTCCTGGTATGGAGGCCCGAGTTCCCCGTACACCTCAAGAGTTCGAAACATACTGGCGGCAATCACCCGAGTATCAGGAACTTCAGAAAGAGATGGCTGCTCATCAGCAGCATGTTTCTTCCCGCTCGAATGAGAAGTTGCTGGAATTGCAGCAGCAGAAGCGTCAAGAACAAGCCAACCATACGCGGGCAGCTTCGCCATATCTTCTTAGTATTCCCATGCAGATCAAACTCAACACCATTCGAGCCTACCAGCGGGTTTGGAACGAGCGGACCTCGACAGTGACAACCGTGGTCGGAAACTGCATACTGGCTTTGATTATTGGTTCAGTCTTCTACGGCTCCCCTGTGTCTACTGCAGGGTTTTTCTCCAGGGGTGCAGTGCTCTTCTATGCGGTGCTCCTGAACGCCCTCACGGCCATGACAGAAATCAACAGCCTGTACTCCCAGCGTCCCATTGTGGAAAAGCACGCGTCCTTCGCCTTCTATCACCCAGCCACGGAAGCCATTGCCGGTGTCTTGAGCGACATCCCGGTCAAATTCCTTCTAGCGGTGGTTTTCAACATTATTTTGTACTTTCTGAGTAATCTGCGCAGAGAGCCGTCGCAATTCTTCATATACTTCCTCATCAACTTCATCATTATGTTCGTGATGAGTGCTGTGTTCCGGACTATGGCTGCGATCACCAAAACTGTCTCCCAAGCCATGACCTTGGCCGGCATTCTGATTCTTGCCTTGGTCATCTACACAGGCTTCGTGGTTCCGGTGCCCAAAATGCATCCCTGGTTCGGATGGATTCACTACATCAACCCGATCTACTACGCGTTTGAAATTCTGGTTGCCAACGAGTTCCACGGACGCGAGTTTGCCTGCTCTGAATTCGTCCCCTCCTACCCGAACCTCGAAGGCGACTCTTTCGTGTGCTCAACGACTGGGGCTGTTGCCGGTCGTCGGACTGTCAGCGGCGATGACTACATTTGGGCTTCATACAGGTACACTTACAGTCACGTCTGGCGGAACTTCGGCATCCTGATCGCATTCCTCATCGGTTTCTTGGCCATTTACTTTCTCGCCACCGAACTCAACTCATCGGCCACCAGCACGGCCGAGGTTCTGCTGTTCCGTCGAGGACACGAGCCTGCTTACATGAAGCAGGAACAAGGGGCTAACGCTGATGAGGAATCCGGCAAACCTACCGCTAATTCAACCCAGAACCACACGCAGGACAAAGTGAACGACAAGCAACAAAGTGGGGCCTTCTCTATCCCACCTCAGCGGGACATCTTCACCTGGAACAATATCGTCTACGATATCGAGATCAAGGGCGAGCCGCGTCGACTGCTCGACCACGTGGCCGGTTGGGTCAAGCCAGGAACTCTGACAGCGTTGATGGGAGTCAGTGGTGCCGGCAAAACCACTCTTCTCGATGTCTTGGCTCACCGCACGACCATGGGTGTCATCACGGGCGACATGTTCGTCAGTGGTCGTCCCCTGGATTCGAGCTTCCCTCGCAAGACCGGTTACGTCCAGCAACAAGATCTGCACCTTGAGACCGCGACGGTCCGCGAGAGCTTAAGATTCAGTGCTATGCTCCGACAGCCGGACTCGGTCCCGATCGAGGAGAAATATGCTTACGTCGAAGAGGTCATCAAGATGCTGAACATGGAGGAATTCGCTGAAGCTGTTGTGGGTGTGCTCGGCGAAGGTCTTAACGTCGAGCAACGCAAGCTATTGACCATCGGAGTGGAATTGGCCGCCAAACCGAAGCTCCTGCTATTCTTGGACGAGCCAACCAGGTAAGGCCTCATTTACCCACCCAACCCTGGCTAGCTCAAACACATATCTAACTGTTCATCTATAGTGGTCTGGACTCGCAGAGTTCTTGGGCCATCTGCAGCTTCCTGCGCAAACTGGCCGATGCCGGCCAGGCGATTCTCTGCACGATCCACCAACCCAGCGCGATCCTGTTCCAGCAGTTCGACCAGTTACTGTTCCTTGCCCGCGGCGGCAAAACCGTCTACTTCGGCCCGATCGGCGAGAACTCGCGGACGCTCCTCGACTACTTCGAAGCCAACGGCGCCCCGCGACCCTGCGACGACGAGGAGAACCCGGCCGAATACATGCTCGAGATCGTCAACGCGGTCAGCAACAAGCACGGGGAGGACTGGTTCGAGGTGTGGAAACGGAGCCCGGAAGCCGCCGCCGTGCAGGCGGAACTCCACCGGATCCACGCCGCCGCCAGTTCCCATGCTGGCGGAATCTCCGAGGCAGATAATGATCCGCGGGAGCAGGCGGAATTCGCCATGCCATTGACGAAGCAGCTGCCGATCGTGATGCGGCGGGTGTTCGAGCAATACTGGCGGACGCCGATGTACATCGTGGCGAAGATGATGCTGGGGATCTGCTCGGGCTTGTTCATCGGGTTCAGCTTCTTCCACGCAGACAGCTCGACGCAGGGGCTGCAGGACGCGATCTTCTCGGTGTTCATGCTGTGCGCGATCTTCTCGTCGCTGGTGCAGCAGATCATCCCGATGTTCATCATCCAGCGGTCGCTGTACGAGGTGCGCGAGCGGCCCAGCAAGACGTACTCGTGGAAGGCGTTCATGGTCGCCAGCATCCTCGTCGAGATCCCCTACCAGATCGTCATGGGCGTGCTGGTGTACGCATGCTACTACTACGCCGTCGACGGCGTGCAGGCCTCGTCGCGCCAGGGCCTGGTGCTGCTCTTCTGCATCCAGTTCTTCGTCTACGCCAGCACCTTCGCCATCCTCTGCATCGCCGCTCTGCCCGACGCCGAGACCGCCGGCGCCATCGTCACCCTTCTCTTCTCCATGGCCCTCACCTTCAACGGCGTCATGCAGTCCCCCTCCGCCCTCCCGGGCTTCTGGATCTTCATGTACCGCGTCTCCCCCTTTACCTACTGGGTCGGTGGCGTCACCGCCACCCAGCTGCACGACCGCGCCGTCCAGTGCAGCACCACCGAGCTGTCCATCTTCAACCCCCCGGCCGGCCAGACCTGCGGCGACTACCTCAGCGACTACCTCCAGACCGCCGTCGGGTACCTGAAGAACCCCAACGCCACCGCCAGCTGCGAGTACTGCTCCATGTCCGTCGCCGATCAGTATCTGGCCGGCGTGAACATCTTCTACAGCGAGCGCTGGCGTAACTTCGGCATCTTCTGGGTCTATATCGTCGTGGATATCGCCGCGGCCGCTTTCTTGTACTATGCCTTCCGCGTCAAGAAGTGGAGCTTGGCCTCGCTGAAGAAGGGGAAGAAGGACTGAGTCCGGGTGGAGATGATTTATTCCTCCTCTTTCCTTGTCTGCCCTTTTCTAATATCCCTGATATAAACTCGGTTTCATTTTCTTGGCATCTCTCTCCCTGCACACTATAGCCATAGACGAGCCTGTTATTTTCTTCTGCTTTTATCCGCGATTCCCACATGGGCACTTAGAATTTGTTCTGTATAGATCAGAACAACACTACATCTATGTAACTATTCCTCCTCTATCGAGATTACAATTAGACTTACCATTCTTCAATCTTTACTACTACAATGGCTAATTCACACACATAAAATGGGGACAAGGATGGATGTAAAGGACGTAATGTTTGTCTCAAAGTCCACCAACACCTCGGGCCATTCGAAACGAAGATCCTCCGCTCGTCCCTTGATCAGAGGACAAAAGGCGGTTCCGTCATTCTGAACACAAACCCAGAGGTGAAATTGAACTTGCCTTTTTTTTTTCTTGGTTCTTGATTTGTTTTGGAAAGAGTTGTCTGGAAATACACCGTTAAGTTTAAGCGAAATGCACATACAACGATGGATGATATCATCAGAACTCCTCAAGACCAGGCGTCAGGATCCGAGGTCGATAGAGTAGTAAATCACTCATCAATCAGGTCTAAACACCCGTTCTGTTGGAAAACCGAACGAATGAATTATCACCGCATGATAAAACACCGAACATTGTCGTAGACGAACAGCTCGCCGTCCCCCCTTCGCAAGCTACTGCAAGCTGTGGGAGCATCGGCTTCACCAGGCCGCGCCACCACCACCACCACCTCCGGCATTATTCCACTCGTCAGTGTTCTCCTCCTCGAAGGCGGGCGCATCGTCATTGTCCCCAGCGCCGGAGATCCAGGGTTCGGTTTCGGTTGAATCTTTATTGTCGCCATGGGCAGTGGGTTCCTCAAACGACTCTTCGGCTGGAGCCTTGGGGCAACGTCGGATGGTGTGGCCCACTGGTTGAAAGAAGAGTTTATATTAGTCATTAATGTCGGGATCATTAGAAGAAAGAGACTTACTCTCTCCACAGTTGCGGCATTGAACTCGTGAGTAATCGCGCTTCTTAGTACAGTCACGACTGAAGTGACCAACTGAGTCCTAGTGTTAGCTATCGTGCTATGCATTTTTGCGTGATAGCATACCCTCATCGCAGTTACGGCAAGTGACGGTAGAGACATCACGGGGTTTGTCGCAGTCGCGCGCAATATGGTCCTCGGATCTGTTGAATCCATATCAGGCCATATCAGCAGAAAAGCTATGAAGTGTATCACTCACCCGCAGTTGCGACAGGTTCTGGGCTCGGGTTTCTGAGGGCAGTCCTTTGCGAAGTGTCCGACTAAGCTTGTTAGAATGGTAAGGGATTGGAAGCTTGACTGGGTGAGTTACCCTCGTTGCAACGCTTGCACTCCACACCCTCCGCTGAGCGAGGGTTAGGACATTCAGCAGCTTTGTGCTCAGGAGAACTTGCAAATGTCAGTTATCTCAATTCTGGAATCTCAGGGCCGACAACATACCCGCAGTTACGACAGGCAAACTTGTCACGACGAGGCTCAGTGCAGTCGCGGGCGCGATGACCGACGGCACTGCAATTGACGCATTTCACTTCGACACGCTCAATCTCGGCTCGTTCCTGCGTGCAGGCGCGGGCAGTGTGACCCATTTCTTGAGCAGGTTAGTGGTTGTCTTATGACGGTGGAGTCAACTTACCACCACAATTTCCGCACTTGGGAACCTGACGATCGTAAGGCAAGCCGGCATCCTCGAGGCGCTCAAGATTGTCCTCGTCGCCAGATGGCCAACGCTCTCTAAGGTGTGCACGCTGTGGCTTGGAACTGAAGAAGTATCCAACCACGTATGTGCAGTCTAGCTTGCCTTGCAGATTGATGAAGCTTATACAACTGTTCGCTTCCCTTTCCTGTGCCGTCCAGTTAATACAGAATCGATAAAGGATTGAGTAGTCAAGGCCAGGGGCTGTACGAACCAGCGCGACAATATAGAACTTAAGGTTTTCCTCACGCATCCTCTTCTCAATGTCGACGAAAGTGGCTTCGGGAACTGCCTTCGAAAAGATCTTTATGCCCTAGTCTGGGTCAGTCTTATTCCATAACAAGCCGAATGCTCAAGAATGATAAACGGGTAAAGCCTCGGTGAATTGTGAGTCTTACAATGCGAAAATCCTCCAGGTCTTTCTCATCGCTGGCCTTCTGTAGAAGGTTCCAGGCGTCCTCGGGGAGCATGTCAGGGACACCATTCAAGTCAAACTTGCGATTCTCTTTACAATCAAGGGCACGATGACCTGTTCCAATGTATCAGACCAGTTTGTTGTTTGACATCAGGGATTTCTGCTTCGCATACCTTCCATCTTACAGTTTTTACAAACATCAGCAGGTCTTTCAGGACACTCGGCAGCAGGATGTCCTTCCTGATTGCAGACACGACAGGTACCCTTGAAGACACGGGGCTTGGTACAGTCGGCCTTTGAGTGCCTATTCCGCGTCACGTCAGCCAACGAAAAACAGTGTATACTTCATTTTCTAGGCTTACCCTTCCTCGCCGCAGTTGAAGCAAGCACCCATAGACTTTTTGGGCTCAGGACACATGCGCGCGAAGTGGTCATCGGCCCCACAGCTGTGAGGTTCACGGTTAGGAGTCTGGTAGTCTTCTATAGTAGTGAGGTGAGCACTTACTTGCGGCATCTGTTATCGTCCTGTCCGTCGGCAGCAGACGCGCGGTCGTAGTCATTGCCACCATAAGGAGCAGAGTTGAAATCACCAGGCCTGGCATTTTCATCGTTGCCGTAACCTAGCACTACATTAGTGGGGTCTTGTAACTGGCTGTGTTATATATTTGGAGTTTGGAAACAACGCGGATCCCAGAATATATGGGTCAGAACTCTTTGGATTGGTAAGGTCACTAACCAGTGTCGCGACCGTCTTCGTTCCACTCCGCGCTATTCCAGTTTTCCATCTTTGCTATGCAGCGGAGCTGTTACTAGGGGAAAGAGAACTATAGAGCACACATAACATCAGTCACTCGGATATTCTCAAGGAAGGACTAAGCCTGTCGAAGGGGGGTACGCGTAGAATAAGCCTCCATTTGCCTGAAGTGAGACTGGAGACCTGCGTATGAGACCTCGCGTCTTCTGATGTGATCTGGTGTAGCTTTATTGCAAGAAAAGCATCTTGTAATAAAGTGTTGTTTCGGATCCCTTGACATTTGTGTGTAGAAAGTGAACTAACCTGTGGTGCTGGAGTGAGAATCGTTGAGGATCGGAAAGTGGAAACCAGAGTAGAAAGAACCTCGATGACAAACAGTAAGAAGAAGTAAGATGACGAAAGAGGAGGGGAGGAAAGGTGTAGGAGAGAAGGGTGTTGAAAGAAAGAGAGAGAGGAAGAGAGGAAAGTGAAGAGAAGAAGTGAAGGTGAAGAGAGCAGTAGGTAACCAGTGACAACAGTGGGAACACAGACAAACGAGCCAAATACTCCCTACAGTTGCCATCCACCTCCCTCTCTCTTATTCTCTAGTTTGACTACCTGTTCAAGTACTTGTAAATTCAATCCTAAAATGATTACACAAGAGCTCTTAAGGTCATTCATATGATCTCTCGTAGTAGACATTCTTCAACTGACTTCGTTCTTTATCCACATTTCACGACCCCGAACATCATAAGAAAAATCAAGTCATAGAACTAAAGAATAAAGACCAGACCTGTATCCAGGGACTTCGACGAAGCAAAAGCAAAATGAAAAACGCAAAAGGTAGATTAAGGTCGGCGAAGTCAGAGATATCGAGGAAATCCCAATGATACCAACGCGATCATCGACAAAGGGGGGGGAGGGGGGGGAGGGGGGGAAGAAACAAAACCAAAGTTTTCAGAATCATCCTCAATGAGCCGCAGTATGCCTAAGAGCCTACTTTGAGGCAGGGCGAAAGCTCGTAAAGAGGTGGTTGAGCTGTTCTTCGAGCTCGGTACAACGCTTGCAACCTCCATTGTCCGTAGCCGTCTTCATTTTTTCCTTCTCGGTCTTGATCTGAAGCAACTCGGCCTTAAGGAGATCCATCGCATCTTGCAAGTCGGCTTTAGCCACCTCAAACTGGCATTTATCAGTCATGGTGCTCATTTTCAGACTTTTCAGCTCATCCTCGCTCTTCTGGAGCTTGCTCTCCGTCTGTATCAAGGTCCGCTGCAATGACTTGTACTCATTGATAATCTTCTCAAAGAACTGCATTCCTTCTGGTAGCTCGGTGATGTCGCAAGAGGGTTTATCGATCTTTGCCACGTCGACAGCTTTCGGAGCCTTTCGAATATCACTCCTTTCAGCAGCTTGGGCCTAATGAGAATTCGAAAATATGTTAGCGCCTAAAGTGTGACTAGATAGCAGATTCCCCATGCCTACCTTCACGAATGTGTCCTCTTCCACAAACAGCTGATTGGAGGGTTCGTCTTCTGAGTCATCACTGCTGTGCTGTCAGTACTGTTGCGTTAGACCCTTCAGAAGACGGTCTCTTACTCAAAGCCACAGACCGTCTTCATCTTTTTCGCTTCAGCAAAGCTCTCGGGTGTTCCTGAGCCAGTCACAGAGCGCTTTTTGCCCTTGCTGGCAGCCGAGCCTTGACTACCTTGAGCGAGCTAGAGATAAAGATATCATGTTAGAAGGGAATAACCCGAATAAGGTTGGAGGCTAATAGGTACCATCTTTTTGAGTTCCTTTTCGCCGCGGCAGTAGTTCTGACAATCTTAGTAGGAGACTCTGCAAGCATAAAATGACATGGAGTATGCTTACTGAATAAGCTCCTTGGAGTGCAGCAAGACTTCGGTCAGGAAAGTATTTCTAGCAAAGTCGAATACGTGTCAGTGACTGGAGCATAACTCGCGGATGAGAGAAAGATACCTGATGGAAGACCGCCCACGGTACCTCTTTCTCCTGCTTTCGGAGCTCTACGAGGCGGGTCCTCTCGGCTGTGGTCCAAGGGCGGGCCTGTGCTTTCTTGCGAGGCTCTGGCGATTGCATGGGGGAAATTGGCACGTTTGAAGGGTAAAGAGGGGTTGTGTGGAGCAGGATAGCTCGATTGAAACAGCTTGTAACTCGGTGGGAAGAGTGGATCAGAAAGGTATAAGTCCGCCCAGCTATGTGGCAGTTATCGGGAGTCCAATGGACTGCAGTGGAAAGCAGACGTGAAGCAGACGGTAGTAGAGAGGGGTGAGGTTGGGGCAAGAAGAGTTACACCAAAGGATATTAGGCCAGCTCGTAGCATCCAGTAGTTGACGGTCCACTTGTGCACTTGATGTGAGTGACAGCTTCAGTGCCAAGTCTTGGAACTAGCAGGCCAACAATTGGAGCAACTCATAGAAGTGTAAAGCACTTGTCTGGATCTTGCCAGAGCAACGAGTGAGAATTCCCAATTGTTGGAACGAAAGAAGAGAGGCAGGTAATATCTTGAGAAAGTAAGTTTGTGTATGTTCAACGGTCAGATGAGACTGCAGGTGTAGATATCTTCAACAGAAATCATCACAACGCAAAACGCCCCACGCCTCCACAATGAAGGTAAAAAATCTGCAGAGGGGTAGGCAGTAAAGAAAGCACACAACAAGACAGAGAATCAATTGGCCGACTGGCTGGCTATCAAAAGTAGACACTGCCTGGTTCTAAGCATGAGGTAGAAAAGTAGATGCTTGATGGTGCTCGTGATAATGAGAACCAGACAGGCAAGGCTAGTTCAAAAGCTATGCAAGTGGCCTTTAATGTAAGCTATCTAAAAGGTATTCTTCTGCTTGTCCTAGGGATCCTCGGCCTTTTGAAAGAATATGGAACATTGTCACATCACTTTCCGATTATGAGTTCATATAAGAGATTTCAAAACTACTCTTGATATTGAGATGGTTATGGTTGTCACTCAAGGTACAAATAAAGAAAGGCCCTGGTTGCACTTATACTGTATATATCTAACTTTCATAATTGAGAATTATGATAGTACCTGTTAACAAGGCTTAGGTACCACGTGCCTCCAACCACGTGCTTGCAGCGACAACGTGTTACACTAGATTTAATCAATTGCATCTTATCTTTATCTCACTTCGAAGACATCTTGTCCCCACAACATAAACAGCCGAGCTCAGATCTCACTCGAAACCGAGGTTCCTTGATGTGATCCCAGGGGGATTTTCACCCGGTGTTGAGGATCATATTGAGCTTTTGATACTCACTTCTTACATCAACTACATCTGAGAGGAGCAGTATGACTTGTGGTGGCACTGCTCACATCATTACTTCTTTGTGGTGATCGATAAGAGAAGGGTGTATGTGAGCTAGTGTTTCATAAACTCCTCAAATAGATCTTAGACAACACTCCAATAATTGTAGCCTTACGTCCGCGAGGGCGGTTTCCTGAATCTATCAAGTCATACACGGACTAAGGACCCGGCAGATGTCGGCCTAATTACATAGAGAGTAAGACTTCTTCAAAGAAACCCAGTGTGATTTGTCGACCTTACGAGCAACCTAAAACTCCGGGCAAGTCGATTTGTGGTGCCCTTTCTAGTGGATCAGTTCAGTCTCGAAAAGAAGCCACGCCATTTTCAGTAGGCCATCTGCTTCAGGTATAGATCAAGCCTTGAGTCCCAAGAACAGCCTGCGGTAATCTCTGGCGGTGACAAACACTGGCCACATATGCAAGCATCAGGCTAGATAACATTAGGATATGCTAGTCGTTGAAACGTCACGCAAAATATTACTTGTCGGGGTAAACGATATTTCAGCACATCTCCAGGTGTTTGCGCCGCTCTGCGATGAGTACAGTGCAATTGAAAACCTACATCCACTGGTTCCAAGATATTCTGGATTGATAACTGAGTCTCGCTACATGTTGGTTGGCGGGTCCTGAATCGCGCATACATTCAGGCCAGTGATAAAGGGATACAAACAGACAGACGAAGATCATACACAGTACGAAACACGCCGATTTTACTTGAAGAGCCTGCCCAGCAGTCCTCCCGCAAGGTTACTCATAATGCCCCCGGAAAGCGCGCTGTTGGCGACGCTGAAGCGATCGCACCGGGAGAAAGCGAGCGTGTTGGTGATGGTCAGTACTAGAGCGATAGCTGCAACAGGTTAGTCGCCAGATCGTAGAAGCTGGGAACAAGGGGCCGCAACACGTACCAACCAAACTCAGCCAGATCACACTGCTCAACTTGATGATGGCCAGAATAGCCAAGCCAACCCAGAGCGTAGGTGCAAGATACAGACTAAGCCAGAAGAACCGCTTGTCCGTGGCGGCAATTGTACGGGTGGTAGGATCCGAGGACTCGAAGACCCAGTGTGAATCGCCGCTCGCGGTGTTGACTTCGTTCCACCAGCGCAGTCCGACTAGTCGACGTCCAGCAATATTCTTGAGGTAGTAGAAGTCCGCAGAGAGGAGCAGCAGCGTTAAGATGAAAACTAGGACACTATTCGATTGAGATCAGTCAGATAAGCTCGGACAATTGGTCGCATGGCCCATGAGGAGATATCTCCAACACCCGTGGAATCATCTTGGGTTAAATAATGATAAGACAGAGCCAGGGTTCTCCATTACGTACAAATTCTTGATAAACAGAACACCGAAAAGATACATCAACAGGGCACTAATGCGGAAGCCCAGGAAGAACAGTAGGGTGATCGGGTGGGCGCTGAGGCGCCAGTTCAAATCTCCCTGTTGCGGTGTGAGGGGTTGTTGTTCCATGTTGATTGAGGTGCAGACTCCAGAGTCAAGCAGCTCTTTGGGGGTTTTCAAACGAAAGGATAAGGAGGGTGGGACAACAGTCAAGCTGTTTGACACGCAACGAGAAGCAGGAATGTGCTCAATGCGTTGATGCTGCGTGTCTCCATGTCCCGGCGGTGGATACTGGCAGAATGCGGAGCCACCGCCGGCTATATGAACGGTTGTTATTCTTCCCTTAACAGATGCGATTCCTCTCGCTCGACTCTCAGCACATTACGATGGCAGAATGAAGCTAACTCAGCACTTCGCTGGATTCCCTATTATTGCTCCTGAATATGCAGACAGGAGGCAAGGAGGGAGGAGAGGATCTCTCCACGGCAGACCGTGCATGGGCGATCCACCCTAGTGGATGAGGTCATTGGCTCGATAGAGAGTTCCTGACGGCGGGAGAAGCCTTTATGCGCCGCGGCCAGCAACCCGAGGATGTCCATCGGTCCAGATTCTCCTCTTTCCTCCACCCTCTCTGTCTCTGTCGCACTCTCCACTTGCACCGGATGAATCTCAGCTGGTCAACTCACACGCCAGGATACTCAGAAGACACGAGCAAGCCCCGAATCCCGTCACAATGGCAGCCCGTAACACGCTCCGTCGAGCTCTTCTCTACAGTATGTCTCAAGACTATCGTACACTTATCGCGAATCCACCGGAGCTCTCCCCGCATTTTCCTACAGAGGCGTTGTCCACCCCCCAAGCCACCTACACCAGCATAACCCACACACAACGTCCAACGGAAGAGAAGCTAAGATGATGTAAATAGTCCCCGGCTCCTCCCAACGCTTCATCGACAAATCCCGCACCCTAGCCGCCGACTGCGTGGCCTACGACCTCGAAGACAGCGTGACTCCGCACAAGAAAGCGGAAGCCCGCTCCCTGGTGCGGAGGGCGCTGGACCAGCCCGCACCAGAGGGGATTCGCGAGCGAGCGGTCCGCATTAACTCCGTGGACAGTGGACTTGCCCTGAGCGATCTTACCGAAGTCGTCAGTTCTCCTCTCACCTGTTTATCATCCACATAATCCACCACAGCGCCAACTAACCCCATGCCACAGCTCCAATCCCCCAACCTCACCACGATCGTAATCCCCAAAGTCAATTCCCCCTCTGACCTAACCTTCGTCACCGACGTCATCACCCATACCCTCTCCCAGCAACAACAAACCCCCAACCGTCCGCCCATCTCTCTCCTCGCCCTCATCGAATCCGCCAAATCCCTCACCAACCTCACGCAGATCTGCGCCGCCACCCCCCTCCTTCAGGGTCTGATCTTCGCCGCCGAGGACTTCGCCTTGGACCTCAGTCTCACGCGCACCCCCGCGCTCACCGAGTTCCTGTTCGCGCGGTCGATGATCGCCACCGCGGCCCGCGCGGCGGAACTCCCCTCGACGATCGATCTGGTGTGCACCGCCTACCGATCGAGCCAGGGCGACGGTGCGTCACCCCCCGCGGTCTTGGAGGAGGAGTGTCGCGACGGGCGCCGGTTGGGCTTCAATGGGAAGCAGTGTATCCATCCGTCGCAGGTGGAGACCGCACAGCGGATCTTCGGGCCCGATCCCGCGGAGGTACAGTGGGCGGTGCGGGTGTGTATCGCCGATGACAAGGCGGCGCAGGCCGGGCGTGGTGCCTGGACGCTGGATGGAAAGATGATCGATGTGCCGGTGGCGGAGAAGGCGAGGGCTGTGGTCAAGAAGGCTGAGGCGTGTGGCTTCAATGTGCGAGAGTTGAGGGAGAAGTGGAAGGGTCAGGAGCCGGAGTAAATAGTTCAGCTTGTTACGAGAGAGTCAGTACGGCATCAACTAGCATCATTTCTCGATTACTTAGATGCATATATGCATACTAGAAAAAAGGTATATACATGTTATAGTGTTCTTCCATATTTAGCATAGCCTACCCCGGCCGGCGTAAGGTCGGAATTGTCTGCATGGTGAGAATAATAGATAAACGCACGCTATAGTAGGTAGCTGGCTGAACACTTTACACGAGGGGAGTGAGAAAGGGACGATTGAAGTTAGCTCATGCCCGTGACTTGCGCAACATGCTCGTGGCATCCGTCCTCGGGCAGGGCCTCGTTCGAGTTCGATCCCGCTTGCTGATAGTGGCTGTCGAGGCGTGCAGTGGCACAGCAACATCCCGCGATATTGTCTGAGCTATGAGCAAGAAGACTAGAGTAAAAATCGATAGAGAGGAGTAAGATATGATGAGAAGGTTGCGTGTGCCATTTCAAGAAAGGAGACATAGGGCTGGCAGAATATGTATGGGTTATGTTTTCGGTTCCAAATCTTCGCGTTTCAACAACTGAATCTTGCCCATCGTTAGCACAGGCGGGATGGCATCGACGTCAGACTTTGCCTCGGCACTCTCTTCAAAGCTCCTCGCCAAACTCTTGTCATAACTCGTTGGGTCAATGCCTAGAATACCCCCAACATATCCACCTCTTTCGCCTGGGACGCTGAACTCGCGGAAGAGGTACTTCCATTCGTTCAACCAGGCCTTGACAGCCTTGCCGATCTTGTCCTTGCCATTCTTGGAATGATGGCCGGTGCCAGTGATGGCATAGACCACTCTCCGGCCCTCACGAGCATGCTTCAGCAAAATCTTCTCTAGGTATTCAATAGCCTCTTCTGGATGCAGCCCATGCAGATCGATATACAACTCCTCTGATGAATCCTCTAGGCCAGCATGAGACAGATGTTTGTTCCGTTCTTCATATAATTGCCGGGCTGCCTCGCGATGGCACTTCCTCATTGCTTCGTTCTCAGCTTGGCCCCGCAGAGAAAGTGCCTTGGCTGCCCTGGCATCATTCCGGTTCCAGGCTTGGGCGGCACTTCAACGATGGATTAGCTTTGGTAAGCCAACTTCACAATTGCGGTAGACTTACCCTTGGAGGAACTTGTTTCTCACCGTACCATGGCCTATTGCCTTCGTCCGATACTTGATATACTGTTCGTTGGCACGGGCCCCTGTCTCGAGCCAAGGGATATTCTGTGGCGCTGGAATAGACTGGGCAGCGGCGCTGAACTCTCGGCCTCTGGCTGTGTCCTTGCCATTCTTGGACGTGGATTTTCCTTTTCCTGGGACTGGGGATGGTGACATGCGAACAACATCCGCTAGGGAAGCGGGAAGATTCTCCTTGCTTGGATTGTTCTCACGATTGTGCGCGCCTCGTTTTCCATGATGCTTCTTTCCACTGTTCCTCGCGCTCATAGCAGCCAGGGTAGGGAATGCGTCCGGATCATCGACCGACAGAGCAGCCGGATTTAAGTCCCTATGCTGATGTCGGCTCCCTGGTCGAGACTGGGGTCGAGAAAGGTTCGTCATGCTGCCGTTTCGTTTCCCCATAACATACTGCATAGCCTGCGGCGAATGCTTTCCACCAGACAGGCCCGATAGGTGGCCGGGATACTTTCCAAAGTATTGGCCACCCCACTGCTCTCCACCCCCAGACTGGAGAGGAGGGAAAGCATCTGAAACATTCTCTATATGGAATTGCGGGCCGCTCGGGATTGTCTGACTTCCGTCTGACAAGCTCATGTTTGCAACCAGGGCTGATGGATCATGAGAAAACGGGCAACCGTCACCGGCAAGGCAATTGCCCATCACCCAGTACCTATGTTTCGTCAGTCTGAGGAGGCTTTGGATCGCGCCTGCGATAGTTTCAACATACTTGCAAAGGTGATTGGTGAGGTCGTGGCTAAACCGACAGTCCGCACGAAGACATTGTCCGGTGGATAGCCAGTATTTGCAGACCACCGGACTGCGACTCTGCAGCGACGGACTGGCAGCTTTGGGCTGCTCCATGGACATCGATTTTCCCACCACAACATGGCTATCATCCGATTGATTCAACAAAGCTTCTCCGTCTGTGAATTGTGAAAGGGATGCGATTGTGGCGCCAAGATCGTAGCTATTCGCTTCCAGTGCTGCTTCAATCTCATCATTTGACCGTTTGTCTCCGAGAACAGTGCGCAGAATGTCATGCGGACTCATGTCGGGAACGAACTCTGGAGCTGTCGCACTCAATGCTGCTGTGAGACTCGGCGTCCCTAAGGATGATGCGACACTGTTGGCATCATCCGCGACCAACCAATCGACATTGCTATCGCTGCCAAAATCTCCGTAGAAGTCTGACACATGACTCTGGTCGGAAAACTCGTATGCATTCAAGTTCGGAGAGTGGGGTATAGGTTGAGCCAAAGCGAGCCGAGGTGACGGGCGCGGGGAGGTGAAGGGTGATACTGTTGAGGAAAGCGGGGGTCGCGGATACCCCCCTCGGGAGCTCTGAAGCCAGGAAGTACTTCCAGGACTGGTGCCTAGGTTGGAATGAGGCGATAAGGGCGTGGCTGAGCGGGCCATCTGCCAGGGAGCGGGGGACGAGCGACGGATGACTGTATGGCGAGGAGGAGGTGGAGAGGCGTTGGGCAAAGTGCGATTTCGATGGCGCCAAAGAACGTCCAGCACGGCATTTTCGAGAGCTGGGCCCGATAACGAGGTCTTTTCGCGAATAAAGTCTTCGACTTTCTCGGCCTGATCTTCCTCGTCAAGAGCTTCATCCTGGAGAATCTGCAAGCACTCCTCCAAAAGTTCTTCTGAAATCATGGTGAAAGAAGGTGTTGTGGCTGGCTAGTGCAGCTGGAAAGCAATGGAATCACGGTGGGAAGGAGAGATGTGGGGTAACCGTTGATTGCGAGGCTCGGGGAGTTGAACGGAGGGCATGGGATAGCTGGAAGGAAAGCTGCGCGTTTCACAGAACAGTATACATTATTGAGTTTAATCCCAGACGATTCCTTTGTTGGTTATATGAGTGACTATGAGACAGAAAGAGGTTAGCACATTAGATGGGGGGACAGGACAACAAGCTTGCGGTTCCACGGGTGATTACATTGCATCTGCGCTCACCATATGATCAACAACGACACGAAAGACGAAAACAATAAAGAGACATAAGGAATGAAAGAAAGAGAGGGTCGACCACGCGAAAGCTTGTTCGCGGGAGTATGAAAGGGTGGATGAGAAGAGGAGTCGGGAGAAGAGGGGAGGAGGTAATGAATAAAGAGAGGAGAATGAGAGGAGAGGAGAGGTATTGGGGGGAAGACTGACGGGATTGATTAGGAACGAGATGGGGAGTGATTAATCCCGCCAGTAGAGTACCCCCGTAGGTACTTGGAACCACTGAATAGCCCCTAAGGTACAACAGGTACCTACTATGTACCCCCTAGGAACCCGTGGCCACATCCCCCTTATTAGTGTATGGCTTCTTGTGATTGACTGTTAGTTAGATGATTTCCTCAATCACCAAGACCAGCTAGATCAGCCAGTTTGCTCTTTATTGTGGCAATGACAAACATTACATAGTACGTGCTATCCACTTGGATTGGTCTTTGGCTGTCAGGCTGTCATGTCAGGCTGTCAATATTTGCCCCCTCGGCCCCTTTTTCGCCCTCCTGGTCATCTTGCTGGTCTGATAGCTGAAGAAACCGACGGCTATCCGGGGAGGGGGGGTTTCTAGACTCATCACATAACTACAGACTGAGTAACTTACATACAGCAGCAGATCTGCCGACGTGTTCTGGGCAACACAACCTCTCCATCAATTCTATTGGCGTTGGTTACTCCTTTCGAAGAAGCTAGTGGAGTGTATATATTTGTTCCTGCCCTGGTGTACCTAATACTGAGTACATCAATCAAGGTAAAGGTGAAAATGTTATACTCGCAATGCCTGCCATTGAGAGGACAATAAGATGGTTGATTGTCTGGTATCCATCATACCAGTATTGTAGTATTGTAAAATTCCGGAACAGCCGCTCAGACCCCGTTCCTGCCTTAGTCAGAAGTTGATGATGTCGAACTCTCTCCAGGCAACCAGCTAAAAAGCACAAGAGAGCTTCAACCTCGGACCCTGCACCCTGCAATTGCCCTCAATAATTGATCATTCCGAAAGGGAGAAAAGCTTCTTCAAGAGGTAGGGACTTTGCACTATCTACTGGGCTGCACCTTCCTCTTTCTATATTTGCATTCTCTTTTGACCCCGTTGCTGCTTCTTAGTTCCGTCCGACTGCACTTGCACACCTCATCATCGCATCACCCGTGGACGAACCCTTTCGCTTATCCCCGCCCATGTCCGATTTCTAGTCGAGGGCTTGAGAACGCCCTCCTTTCGAGTAACAATTGGGAATTGAGGTACTGGGAATTCCATTGGGTACAACACGTGCTGCGACCGATCTCAACAAAAAAAAATTCCCTGAGACGATATCAATTTCCCTCGAATTGCGCCCGTTTCGTCATTCTTCCTTTTTAGGCTCCCGCTCCACTTTCGGCTGTCGATCCTGTGGCCTTCACTCGGGGTAGCTAATCGATCTCCATACTCCAACTCTCCCCGACTCGCTCACATTGCCCATATCCCAAAAATGCCTGCGGATTATACATCCACAGCGCGGGCTCTCTCTGTCTCCCCGACATCGCCAGAAGCTTTTTCTCCGTCGGACGAAGATATCTTCCCGCCATGGAGTCAACGAGCTTCCGCCCAGCGAAATTCACCAGACACCGCTGGCCAGAAACCCACAACCTTCCGTGAGCAGGCCATCGACCGAGCGACTCAAATGTCGCGGCGCATTAGAACAGCATGGCGGAAGATGACTTTCTGGCAAAGAGTCGGCGCTGTAGGTGCTTTTATCTTAGCTAACATGCTGGGACTGGCATTCCTGTTCTTTACCGGAAAGGTGTTCATTTGGATCCGGCCCGTGGCAGCACAGTGGGAGAAGTCCCGTTTGGCCTTCTTCATCCTTTGGCTATGTGTCTTTTTCGTTTCTTTTCCTCCATTGGTGGGATGGTCGACGTTCGGAACAGTCTCCGGCTATCTTTTTGGCGTATGGAAAGGGTGAGTCGGACATCATTCGTCTACGATGCTTCATGGGTCTGACATTTCCTCCAGATGGCTCCTCTACGCCTCTGCAACCGTGCTCGGCTCCACGGTCTCATTCATCGTGTCTCGCACGGTTCTGTCTAAATTTGTGCATCGATTGATTGAGCGCGATAAACGATTTGCAGCCCTCTCGTTGACCTTAAAGTACGATGGCCTAAAGCTGCTGTGCATGATCCGCCTATGCCCACTTCCCTACTCCGTATGTAATGGAGCCGTATCGACTTTTCCGACCGTTCATCCGTTGATGTATGGACTCGCCACGGCAATTGTCTCCCCGAAGCTACTAGTGCCCGCCTTTATCGGCAGCAGGCTTCGAATTCTTTCAGAAAACAATGAAAAGATGAGCGCTGGCTCGAAGGCGGTCAACATCTGCAGTATAATCTTCACAATTGCTATCGGAGTCTTCACCGGACTGTATATATACAAAAGGTACTGCATGCGATCAAACTTGCCGCCGCATCCCCGCTAATGAGATATGCCAGAACTCTGGCTCGAGCCAAGGAATTGGAGGCCAAAGAACGTGAGGACATTCGACGGACTTTGCAGGCGGACCATGCCGCTCATCGCTCACATCAGGCCTTTTCGGAGGACCCGGACGTTGATAGGGCCGCGCGAACTCTTGCCCGCGATGAAGAGGAACAGATCGGGTTCACGGACTTGGATGATGATCACGTGGAATTGGCCATCGATGACGAGAGCGGCAGCGAGACCTTGAGCGGCCACGGCAAGTCGTCGCGCTATCGGGACGAATTCACTGACAATGATTCGGATGCCTTCCGGGATGAAGACGGTGCGCACGAGGAGACATATACCTTGCATACCCATGTGCGCCGAGACTGAAGCTTCTAGGACCGTCGGATTCCGGCAAAGACCACACTACACATACATCGGACCCTTGTTCTTGATTAGAATTTTCTCCTACGAGTGATGCCTTGTATCCTATAAAGAGAAAGTGATGATTATGACGCTTCAAAAATCCTGTTTTCCTGGTTTGGAGACTGGTTCTACTGCGAAAAATGGGAAATTCTTCATCGAGGGCGACGCTCAGGCAGCACCCTGGTGGCTTTCTGCCTTTCTTGTAATTGATCTGTTGAGAAAAATCAAATTGGCAATGGCCTAATCACGGCAGTCGTAAGCACTCATGTAAACATATGGCCTGCGTAGGGGAAGATCGGGAGCGGACTGGCGGGGATCCGGGCGAACATGCCGCCGATCCAGAAATGCATCTCCATCTGTCGTTTATCGCCGCTTCCTCTTCATTTCCGCTCACCGCATACCCTCACTTTTCCCCCCTTGATTCGGTCCCCCCTCTCATAGGCGAGAGAGGCAGAAAAAGAGAGGATCTTGCTGTGGCTTAGAAGTGCGATCTCCTTAAGGTTGGTATACCACTGATTTTGCCTCTTCAATGCTTGCATCAGTGGGGGAACTGGGGCATCATGGGCTTGGCTGATAAGGGTCTTCCAATCGTATCCCCTCTTAGCCTGATATAAATGGTGTCGATCAAGGGTAAGTCAACTACTCTTCTATGTATAGATATCTCGGCCTCTGGCATCGTGTGTCAATTTCTGAGGTGACTCTCTAACTCGCCTTTGAAGGAAACCTTATACATCCTCAAGCCAAGCCGTGCGCTTCCCGAAGTCAGGGATTTCTCATAGTCAAACAACCTAGCATGGTTCGATAGGGAAACATACAGCTAGTATGAAAACCGCTGCCTCTCTGGGGCCTCAGGGCCCTAATGGGCACGTCTCCCATACCAGCCCGTTGAATCCATATTTGCCTACGAGCCTTGGAACTATGGCCAGTAGCGGGGGACAATTTTCAATGTTCTCGGCTCGGCATATCTTTCCTGAAAGCAGTCAGCCGGCGCGGCTTCCTGCAATGATCCAGCCTACCAGAGTGTATGCCACTGGGCTTGTAAATCCGAATGGTGCCATGGCCTCGACCGCGACACCAACCTTGAATGGCAGCGCAATGCAGCCTTCTGCTTTGGAAAGCACGAATCCTTCGCAGAGGTTGAACGGACAATTTGCGGTTGCTGCAACGACTCCCACTGCCAGCATTGCATCCACATTGCATGCATCCAATGGTACGACTGTACCGCGCGATTATCCTAATGGCTCGACAGGTGGCTCATACTCTTGCCTCTCATCCGGCTCTAGCCAATTAAGATCTGACTCCCCGTCCACAACACTGACCGGCGCTCTGTCCTCCGGTTCTGCTTCGATTTCAACCGAACCCAAGGACCGTCCGCACCGCATACCGATTCCCATAAAGTATCGCCCGCGATCGTCGATTCCGCCAAGGATGCCTGCAGCAGTATATGCTCAACAGTGCGTTGAAGCAGCGTATGCCTCTCGACTCAACCCCTACGCCCTGCACAAGAATGAGCAGGATGCGCTCCAGGACCATTTGTGTCATCTTCAAGTCACTATGTATCTGAACATCCGAAATGGGATTTTACGCTTGTGGACGCGAAACCCAATGGTGAGCGTTACCAAAGAGGAAGCACTAGGATGTACGAAAGACTATCGCTGGGTGAACCTTGCCTCATTCGCTTATGAATGGCTCATCAGGAATGGATATATCAATTTCGGGTGTGTGGAGATTCCCGCCGCCCTAGTAAGTCCCAGAAAGGGTCGTCGGAAGGATGGCCCGGTAATCGTGGTCATTGGCGCAGGTGTGGCAGGCTTGAGCTGTGCGCGACAATTGGAGGGACTGTTCCGCCATTACCATGATGCCGACTCGTCTCCACGGGTGGTGGTCCTGGAAGGCAGGCGAAGGATTGGCGGTCGTATTTACTCGCATCCGCTACGCAGCCTGCAGTCCTCGAAATTGGCTCCAGGTCTGGTGCCGAAAGCCGAGATGGGCGCGCAGATCATCGTGGGGTTTGAGCATGGCAATCCGTTGGATCAGATCGTTCGCGGCCAGCTAGCTCTCCCCTATCATCTGTTGCGTGATATTTCAACGATCTACGATGTTGATGGCTCTGCGGTAGACGAACCCCGAGACGCAACAGCCGAGATGCTTTATAACGATGTTCTGGATCGTTCGGGGTTCTATCGTCACAAATCCGTGATAGTCCCGACGGCGGAAGGCGAGCGAGACTTGATTGATAACGGTCGTGACATCGTGACTAACGATGGCCTGACTGTCCGACAATACGAAGAGGCCAGGGCTGCCGGTACGATTGGACTCCTGTTTCCTGCCAAAAAGGTCCGTAGAGGTGTGGGTCACAAGACAGCAGAAATCAAACCAGTCGGTGCTCCTTCAGCAAACGCGGACAGGAACGAAGAGAACCCAACCAAGCTCGCTTGTCAGACAATGGGCTGGAGTCTGAAACATGGAGTCTCAGACACTGAGAAAATTAATCTAGATCCCATAGCCAAGGCCTCTCGGAATCAAACTCTGGGGGCCGTCTTAGATGAGGGTGTCCGGCAATACCAGCACATGCTGCCGCTGACACCGAAGGACATGCGATTGATGAACTGGCATATGGCCAATCTAGAATACGCAAATGCAGCCAACGTCGGCAAGCTCAGTCTCTCAGGTTGGGACCAGGATATGGGCAATGAGTTCGAAGGGGAGCACTCGCAGGTCATCGGCGGATACCAGCAGCTTCCGTTTGGGCTGTGGTCATTGCCCACCAAGCTTGACGTACGTCCAAACAAAGTCGTTTGCAGGGTCTCTTATGATCAAACTGGCCGCGGCAAACAAAAAGCCCTTATCCAGTGTGAAGACGGTGAGAGCTTCATGGCGGACAAAGTCGTTTTCACAGGCTCCCTGGGCGTTCTCAAGCATCGAAGCATCCAATTCTCCCCTCCTCTTCCTGAATGGAAATTGGGAGCAATCGATCGGCTAGGTTTCGGGGTCATGAACAAGGTGATTCTTGTATTCGACCAACCCTTCTGGGACACGGAACGTGACATGTTTGGCCTGTTGCGCGAGCCCCAGAACCGCGACAGCATGAGACAAGAAGACTATTCCGCCAATCGAGGTCGGTTCTACCTCTTCTGGAATTGCATGCGAACGACCGGTCTGCCTGTGCTCATAGCCCTGATGGCCGGTGACGCCGCCCACCAAGCCGAATGCACGCCCGACGCCGAGATCATCGCCGAAGTGACTAGCCAGCTCCGCAACGTGTTCAAGCATGTTGCTGTCCCCGACCCTCTGGAGACGATCGTCACCCGCTGGGCCAGTGACAAGTTCACTCGCGGAAGCTATTCCTTCGTCGCCGCCCACTCCCTTCCCGGCGACTACGATCTCATGGCTCAGTCGATCGGCAACCTGCACTTTGCCGGCGAAGCCACCTGTGGCACTCACCCTGCCACCGTGCACGGCGCCTACCTGTCAGGCCTCCGCGCGGCCTCAGAAATCATCGACCACACCCTCGGACACATCGAAATCCCTACTCCTCTTGTGCCAGAAAAGGGTGCCAAGGTCGTCCCACCGGGTGACATCCTTCACGCTCCGTCAACAACAACACCCACAACCGCAACCACCGGCCAAAAGCGCAAACAACAGCATCATCCCTCATCCGCCGCCACCACCTCCTCCATCCACCCACTCCTCTCCAACCCACAACCCATCGACCCCAACGACCCGAACCCCTCCCCCGAGTCCCTCCGCCGCGCCGCCTACGACAAGGCAATGTGGGCGGCCATCACCGCGGAAATCGGTGCGCCCTTGCCTCGTCCCGCCCGCGCCGTCCTCAACCCATTCCTCCTCTACCAGAAGGACGTCTGGACCCGGTGCCGCGCCCAGTGCGACGAGGCCCGGCGCGCGGCCACCAACGACCCCACCGCCAAAGCGCCCCGCGACGAGATCCGCCAGGCGCTCGGCCAGATGTGGCGCCAGGCCGACCCGGCCGAGAAGCGGCCCTACCTCGAGCGGATCGAGGCCAACCGGCAGGCCAACGCGGCGGTCATGGAGCATTGGCGTCGGGAGGTCGCCGAGTGGGAGAAACGCGCCCTGCAGGTTCGGGAGCGGTGGTGTCGGGAGCATCCGTTCGACGGGTGGGTGGGGGAGCAAAAGTTGGATCTTCGTTTGGGGGATGCTGCTGCCGGTGGTATCTCGCATGGTACTGGTGGTGTCGGTGCTGGTGCTGGTGCGGCCAGTGGTGGTGTGCTTTCTGGGGTTATGCATAATGGCATCAGTAACAGCAGCACCAGCATAGTCAACAGCACTTCTGTATCGAGTGCCGGGAACGCTCCTACATCTATACAAGCTATGGTTCCCACTGCTCAGCAGCATCAGCCACAGCCACAGCAGCAAGTGAACGACTCGACTCATTCCTAAGCGACGAACAGCAATAGAATTCAGCATTATACTCTTATTGCAAGACAATTTCAAGAGGTTCATGACTTTCTATTCTAATTCTATCCTTGTTGTAATAATGTATTTCACAGTCAGAAGTTCCAGTCATCGTTCAAATTCATGGAATTTGAGAGAAAAAAATGCCCCCAACCGGTCCTCCTGCTGTGTGCGTGGGTGTGTATCACGTTGTATATCACAAACATGAGATCAGATCATGAGAAACAAAAAAATGAAAACGCTAAAGTCTAAGATATAAACCCGTAACAGAATTGGAACAAAGAGAAATCCCTGACGGAAAACGAGACGAAGCGATATCATCCTCTTTGTGTATGATGCACAAACAGGGTGATAAATGGGGAGTGGGTGTCTAATCTAGGAATGGAAACCTGATCTATGCGAGGGAAGGGCATTGGAAAATGGGTTGGGGTGGGGTTGTAGAGGGCGGTCGGTAGGAAAGGATTTGACGAAATCGCTTAGAGGAGAGGGTTGGACTTGTACTCGGCGGTAGCACCCTCGGAGTCCTTCTTGACCTCGCCGTTGACCTCTTGGGTGGGCTTGACAGTGGACTTCTCGACGCTGGTGACGGGCTCCTCGTCGTTGGACTCCTTCTCGGCGATGTACTTCTCGGCTTCGAGGGCAGCAATGCAGCCGGATCCTGGGAAGAGTAAAAGATCAGCAAGGGTTTGAAGTTTGTGTTAAGGAGGGAAAACATACCGGCACTGGTGATGGCCTGGCGGTAGCGCTTGTCCTGGACGTCACCGCAGGCGAAGACGCCCTCGACGCTGGTGTAGCTGGTACCGGGCTGGGTGACGATGTATCCATCCTCATCAAGGTTGATCTGGCCCTTGACCAGGGCGGTGGCGGGGTCGTGGCCGACAGCGTAGAAGAGGCCGTTGGCGTCGACGACCTCCTCCTCGCCGGAGACGACGTTCTTGACGCGCAGGTGGGTCATCAAGCCCATGGGCTTCTCCTCGCCGAGGACCTCGGTGGCGACGGTGTTGAAGCGGACGGTGACCTTGGGGTGGGCCAGGAGACGCTGGGCCATGGTTTTGCTGGCACGGAGCTTGTCCTTGCGGACGAGAACGGTCACGCTGCTGCCGTACTTGGCAAGGAACATGGCCTCCTCGGCGGCGGAATCACCACCACCGATGACGAAGAGGGGCTTGTTGCGGAAGATGGGGACGGCACCGTCGCAGACGGCGCAGGCCGAGATGCCGTTCTGCCAGTACTTCTCCTCGCCGGGGAGGTCGAGACGGCGGGCGTTGGCACCGGTGGCAATGATAACAGCATCGGCAGTGTGAGCGGGCTCGTTGTCGGGACCGTCGTTCCACTCAGTCCAGAGCTTGAAGGGGCGCTGGGAAAAGTCGACCTTGGAGATGGTCTCGGTGATCACTTCGGTGCCGAAGCGGATGGACTGCTTGCGCATGTTCTCCATGAGTTCACCGCCGCCGATTCCATCGGGGAAACCGGGGAAGTTCTCAATGTCGGTAGTGGTAGTGAGCTGACCGCCAGCGGCGGTGCCGTTGGCCAGCATACCCTCATAGAGGACGGGCTTGAGTTCGGCACGGGAGAGGTAGATGGCAGCGGTGTGCGCCGCGGGGCCGGAGCCGATAACTAACGGGCAAAATGGTTAAGACCCGCTTCAGGCAACCCAATTGAGACGAGAATACTTACTGACGACGTTAGTGTGAACCATTCTGGAGGATGAAGGAGGATTGGCGCGCAGTGGCGTCGAAAGGGGATTCGGGAAAGCGGAAGTAGCAGGTGAGGATTTTTGATGGAGCGAAGAAGTGGCCGCTGCAGTCAATCCGAGAGATGCACGCAGGGAGGAGAAGGGGAACCGACGAAAGGCGGAGGAGAACAGATTGGCGGTGTTATGGGGGAGAAAGGGAAAAGTTGAGGTGGTGGTGGTGGGGGGGGGGAAGCAGAATGAATTAATAGTGATGGGAGAAGTCGAACGGAGGGGCAGCGAATCCACCAGAAAGTCGGGCTGGCCGGGGCGAGATTAGCTAAGAAGGCAGAGAGGGCAGTCCACTTAGCAATAACACCACCCGATGAAATTATCACCTAGGATCCAGACTTGGAGAATTATGAATAAGGCGGTTAAAGTCTTTTTAGTCAGATAAACAAGCCAACAATGAATGAATAACGCAGCGAATGGGACTCTCACAAATCACCTGCGGCGAGGCCCTGGTCACGTGCACGGCTTACCAAGCGGCGGCCGGCCGAGACCGCCATTGATTATCGATCAGATTATCTCATTATCTACAGTACATAGTAAGTCAAGAGATCGTTCATTCATCAATCATATCATCAAGTACATTATTACATGTCACTCTCGTCAATCATCACCCTCATCACCCCTCCCCCCTCACTTTGATCGTCCGAACCACTTTTTTCGCTTCGAAGGAGTGGTCTCCTCCTTCTCGCCCTCCTCCTCCCCATCCATATCGTCCACACTCGCACCCACTAACCCGGCAGGGGCCATCCTACTACTACCCTCGCCCACTCCCCCACCATATACCTCTCGAGGATTCTCATAGCCACCCTCGTCCTCATCATTTTCCTCGTCGCTCATCCCGTCCTCATCGTCATCCTCAACCTCCGTGTCCTCCGCTGGCAACCTCTCTCTCTTGGCGCCCCGGACTCCCAACCATTTCTTCCACCCTTTGGCGACCGGGGCGGCTGGTAGGTCAAAGTCCATCCCTTCGTATCGGAGCGCGGGAATCAGCAGCTTGTATGGCGTCGTGATACCGGCTGGATCCTTGGGGTTGAGCTCGAGATTGAGCGTAATAGCTAGGCCTTCCTCCATATTGCTCGATGCGTCTAGCCCTCCGCCCGCACGACTGCCCATCCTTTGGCTAGCATTCGTGGGGCGGCGTTGTAAGAACCCAGGCTGAAAGGCATCCCTTGTTTCAGCAGCCGAATTGAAGGGTCCATCCATGCTCATCCGTCGTCCGATTGGGGCCTCGCCCAGATTAAATTCCTTCGTAGGCGGCGGGCCACGGCCAGAAAGCCGGCGGAATAGGCCTCCGCTGGGAGGCTTATCCCCACGGGTCAGTGATAGCGTTCTTTTCAATTTACGCGGGCGAGCCTCCTCCGCGCCGGGCCTCAAAGCAAATCGTGGTGTGCCTGGGGGCGTAGAACCTAGGAGTACGTTAGCAAAACGTTCCGTATAACTCGCACGAGCTGCTTGTGGGCGGACCGACCTGGTTGGTATTGGCGGATGGAACACCAATTGCGTCGAGGTAGCAGTCTCTTATTGTTGCGAGGCTTGTTGTTCACATCGTGAGTGAAAAGAGGGACCATGTCTTCGTCGGTATTGGTATCCATGTGATGCACCCGGTTGCGCTTGTTCAGCATGTCGGAAATCATCTCCGTCTCAGGCAGGTCCGCAATAGCGGAGGAGATGACATTGGCCATGTAGCGGTAGTCTTTGTCTCTGGGGAGGTTCAATTTCGGATTTGAATAGAATTGACCGACGGCGGCCAGATGGACATCGCCGCTAGGAGGGAAACCAGTCAGCTGCGGTTTATAGTATACGGGACTCGGGTTTACCTTAGAATAGTGACTCTAACTGATTTTTCAGCGGCCAAGTCCTGCAGGTCCTCGATCAGATACGTTCGCTCTGACTTGTGGTGCTTGGCTGTCCAGTGGTCATCAAAGATCTCTACTTTGCCGCCATTCTTGTTCACCAAGCCGCCGAAAAGTCCGGCTTTACCCAGAGACTTGCGGCTATTGAGAATGTTCTTGACCATTGCCTTCGAAACTGTTAGGAAGACTGTGCGCTGGGAGTTTTGGATCTATCACATACCACTCTTGGGTATGCTATTGGGATACCCAGGGAGACGATCAGGTGCTTGGTCTCACCCCTCGTTATCTCGCGATGACATCGGTCCCAGATCAGATCACACGTCTGTTCACTGAGAATTTCATCCGTCTGTAGCACCATACGGGTCAGTAGGCGCGACCTGAATTCTGGTATTCCATCGACTTACCATCCGCTCCGTACGACAATCTAATCCAAGGAAAGACACTCCGTCACCCAAAGACATGAATAGATGCCGACTCTTTTGGTTAATATATGGACCAGGTTGAGCTCCAAGAAGCCAGCTTGGCTCCTCAGCCTCAGTCTCTTCGGGAACACTGTGATGTTGGAACAAGAGATAGTACTTGAACGCGATGTTCCCGAGTCCCGAGATAACAGCACAGTTCATGAACTCCTCGGGGTAGGATCCAAAACCTTCGATGACTTCATGATCGTTCCACATGTTCACCATGGGAATCTGGGAGCCGGCCAGGGAAAAAAGCCCTTGCGAGAACCACGCGGAGTAGTTCCCAAGATAGAAATCCTCTAGCTCGGCTCGAAACTCGGCTGTAAATGAAGCGTCATACTTCTCGCCCAAGCTCTTGATTTTTACCCATTCCTGGAAATGGGCTGTCTCTGCTATGACCTTGTCATTAAAGATCTGGTCACCTCCACCAATCATGACGTGGAAGGGCTGGGTCTGGTGCTCAGTCAATATGTCACGCCACAAAGGATCAGGCCCGCACAATTTGTTGGGATTGACAGCTGCGCTAAAACCGTTGCCCGTATGGAACACGATGTTCATTGACTGTCCACGTGCGGGGACCCAGAAACCTATGGCAGGTCCCTGATTCAGTCTATAAGCAATCCGCTGTTGGGTGGGACCTAGCTCGACCTCGATGTTAAACCTCCAGAACGTCACATCTCGCCCTGGGTCCGCGTAGAGGCGGGCTCCAGTGACCTCGGTGTAGCTTCCAGCAACTTCCCCGTCCATGGGGTGAAGTCGATTGGCGGGAACAGGTTGCTTGACACCCTCACTGTTGTAGTCGACCATGCTTGGGGACATCTCAAATAGGCCATCGTCATTCTCGATTACTGAAAGGTCTGTCTCTTCCTCAATATGGTCCACTGGTTTGACATATATAGCCCGCCCGTCTCGCCCCAGCTTCATCAAGCCTGCCGTAGGGTCAACGTACTCAGGTGCAAGGCGAGCTTCTTCACCATCTACCTGAACTGGTGGAGGGGGGAGCAGATCCATTGGTTGTGGGAATAATCGTAGGGTCGGGGATGGCTCATAAGACGAGCGCGAATCTTGGGTCACAATGAGGATGCTACCTCTCCATGTCTCCTTGTTGAATGGCCCGTTGGGCCCGTCAATCCGGACTCGCCTTAATCCGCCGTACCGGAGTAGAGGCCCACACTTCAGGAATATCGGCGGCTGAAAGCGTTTGCTACCTAAACGATAATGCTTATCAGTACTTGAGAAGCTTTCCTTGGATCCCCACCGAAGAGCTTACCTGCTAATTTTTGAGTCGGTGTTCTTTGCGGAAAGTCGCTTGGAAGAGCCCTGCTGCGTCGACGATTATTACCCGTTGCGCCTTCCCACCAAGCCTTTCCTCGATCGGCATCAAGTCGCTGGAAATCAAAGTCGGAAGCTCCCAATCGAGCAACTTGTGCGGTCTTCCACTCCGATAGTGGAGGAGGTGTGGGTGGTGGCACATTGAATGAGACCTTGGGTTTTGACGGCGCACTCGTTTCCGTACCAAAAGTCTCTCGGCTCAAATCGGCGCCCATGTCAGCTCCCAAGGGAATAGACAGCTCCGGAGCAACTCCAGCAAGGTTTTTCGCAGTACTCTGTGGAAGCATTGTCTTCGGTTGCGGAGGACCTGCGTCTGAACCAGCTTGTGGCAATGGTCTGCCTTTTTGAGCCCCGTACTCATGCTGTGCTTGTGGCCCCGGCTTCGGCTTACTGGTTTCCATTTGACTGGGCACATTCTTTCTGCCATAGGGCGCCATCTTATCCTGTTTTGGGGGGTTTGAAATAAAGGCAGCGGAGGTATGAGCTCGCGGATCCTGGTGACTGCCTGTGTTCATCGCTCGTGGACCCATAGGTCCTGCAGGTCTGTGACTTACGGTAACCGTTCGTCTGGGGACGGTGCCTCTGTTCATTACCGCCGCGCTGGATTGTCTAGCGCTTGCAAAGGGGCCCTCATCAGCCGCGTATGCCGCTGGGTTCTGTAGAGAAGGGGCTCTGGTGCGAGATGGTCTGGGCCTCTCATATGGATTTTGTTCCAGGGGGCCATATTCTGCTCGAGGCTCGGAAGCAAGGCGTCGGTGTTCCGGTCGCTTCGCACCCGATGCAGCAGGCTGGTTCTGTCTGGTGGCCTGTCCACTCATGCCTCGTAGAACGTCCTCACGGTCTGGTACTCTTGGATCGACCCGCTTTGGGAGATGCGAGGATGCAGATGCTCGGCTGTCGGCCTCCCTTTGCATTCGTTCTTTGAGCTTCATTTCAGCCTCCAACACCCGTGCTCTTTTCTTCTCTTTTAATGATACCTCTAGCAGTTGAAGGGGCGAGCGATCCGAGGCCAAGGGCTGTTCATGGTCCGCTGTAGATCGCCGTGTATTCGACCGGCTCAGGGGAGATCCCTGGCTTTCGGAGGCTGCGGGCTTGGAACCATCACCTCCGTGTCGCTTGGTGCCGGTGGCCTGTGGCGGTTCGTTCTCCCCGGACCACAGAGATGGCTCTAACGTCGGTAGCCTGTCTGTCCGCCCCATGATCTCTTCTGGGTGCGTTTTACCTCGGCCTTTGGTGTGGGTGGAACCTGAGCGGGATGCACGATTGCCATGTGGCCTTTCGGGGATGTAAGGCACGAGAGGGATATTTTGATCCTTCACGCTCTTCGAATAGTTCTCCCCCTCGGGCTCGTGCTCGGCAGTGAACCATCCTTGGGACGGCTGTCGCCGATGCGATGTGACTGGGCGCGAGGTGTTGCTGAACACTTGATCAGAAGACATAGTGTCTCCGCGTTCCATCGCTTGGGTACTTTCTGTAGCCATGGTTGGGATGGATTCGTGGTCTGGAGGAGCGACTTGCACTGTAGCGCAAGCCCGGATCGACGACTCCAAAAGACTGGTCACAGCTGTAGTCAAGGAGAATCGAGTAATCTGACTCTGCGTCTATGAATAGTGTTTACCAAGCGATTTGAGCCTATACCTATGATCGCATAGTTGACAATGACAGCGAGCGACCTCCGGTATGGTCAATGTTACAACGCGGCGTCGGCGGGCAACGTGCCGATGCGGAGTATAATTACAAGCGGGCAAACAAGTATATGCTCGCCTCCCTTGAGTGCTGTGGTGCACAAGCCACGAGATGCGGGCTCTGGTATTGTTGACTGGTGGCTGGACAATGAACAAATGCAAGCTAAATATGCGGAGCATGCGATGAAAGGATTGTCAATACAGGTGAGTGTCAATGGATGTTGGCGCAAAGTCCAAGTAGAGGAGGAGGGGAGAATTGAAATGCGATGATGAACTGGGGGGCCGGCCGTGGGGAGGAAGAATAATATAAACGGGTGGCTGGCAAACCAGCCCGGCCCTGCCTCCCTGTTGCTCCTGCGTCAGGCGGGGCTTCACCACGAGCACCGCCGAGTACGTATAAATATCAGGCTTCAATTTTTTATTTTCTTTTCTTTTTTTCTGTTGTCGCGATCTTGTACTCTTTTTACAGCCTTCTCGGATAAAGTCTCGATGACTATATATGCCCTGGCTTATGTGATTGGCACCCTCGATCCTCACCAAATCATCGAGTCAAACGTTGCACTTCTCACCGATTGCGTCGATCAATTTCCACCTCGCTGTTGGCAGCGCAGTTGTCAATTCAGCCCAATGCCTAGAGACAGCTACCCCAAAAAATGAGTTGACCTCCTGCGTGGTCCCGTCCTTTTTCCGATGCTCGATCTTCGGGGTTTAGTATGAAATCATACCTCCTGTGGGAGCGCACGGCCGTAGCTTCGATGTCGGCGGTGAAAAGAGACCTGCGAAGTGACCTATCGTTAGTGTTGGGCTAGGATGATGCAGCTGCTGGCTACCACTTTTCTGGGCCATCGCTTAGCATGAAACACTCTATCTTGACGACCAATGCTGGCACATTGGGCCCCAATCGACATGAATCGATCTGTCGGGTGTCTCGGGGTGATTCGGGCCAATGGATAAAGCGAGGTACCTGGTAGATGTACTTTAAACTTGATGTAGCTACGGTACGGTGTCGTACGTGGATACGCGGGTGTCCGCTTGGGGTATATAAGCATCTGCGTGACTTGGTGCACTGTCAGTTGTGAATTTCGGCTGCGGCGAGGTGACTGAGAGGCGCTCTCACCTCCCGAATGGCTATGAGTACTGCATGATGGTTCTCGCCTTAAGGTCGGTTTAGAGTACACGAGGATGCGCGATGCTTGGCTGGGACGGGCTGTTGCGGAAGAAACTAAAGACAGTGGGGGAAAAAAGAAATCGACACCTGTGAGATTCGAACTCACGCGGGCGAACCCACTGGCTTAGCAGGCCAGCACCTTAACCACTCGGTCAAAGTGTCCAATTCTTGATTACGTCAGTGGTCTTTTGCTCCATGCTATATGTGTAACTTATTTCGCCGCTTGGTAGCTTTGTGATGATACACAACCTGGAAAAGGTATATCACCAAGTAGGTTCTCACTGCGCCCCATATTTGCTGTCTTACTGGTCTATATGAGAGCCATATTTTTCCTCCTTTATACTTTTATATCATGTTTTTCTCCATCTATTTTGATCGTTCCGGAACTGTGTATTTAGGTGCTATATTGTCATGGGTGCGGGAATATACCTTACCCGCAGTGCACTGTATCCGCTGTCCATGGATGCGCGCAGTGTATAGGCAACCAACCAGCCCACTTCCAGCACCCTGGATCCCTAGGTGAAATGGGAGGACAAGGGTACTTGGTGGATCTTGAAGGATATCATGCCACATCCATGCCTGACGATGTACCGGGCCACCACGCGAAAGTGACTGCGGGTTGGAAACGGCGGCTCTTGCCCACGTTGGAATATATGGTAAGTACGGCGACGTCAATATGAACGATCGAGTAGCGGCACCACCCAAATAACATCAGAAGCAACACACACACACACACACACACACACACACACACATACACACATGCGTCGGTCGATCGAAGATAAGTGTACAACTGACCACTAAAATTGATTGTGCCTGTACCGTACCGGATGCCCTGGCCTCACCAAGCCGAAATCCGAAGCCGGAGATGACACCAACAACAAGTTCACTATTGGGAATAGCTCATAGATGTACGATGCACCACAATCCCAAGGAAGTAACCGAGAATTGATACACGTCAACGATGTCAGGAGATAGAGATAAACCTCATCACATGAGAAAATACCGACACAACTGGACTCTGTATAATGTGCAACACAGTGATGGCACAAGCGATACTAGCAACAACCACAGAGCCAGGATCAAGAGGAGTACCACCCCAACGGTAGACGCACAGCACGTGACTACCACAGTTCCAGAAGAGCATACTTCTAATATCGACATGAATGATCTCGCATGAAATACGTGTATGCTCTAGAACAAAGGATAACTGTGGCGATGCCGGCCCCCTCAGTGAGATATAAACCCGAGACGAGGACGAAGGCATGCAAAAATTAAATAAGCTACAACCGCAGAGTATGGAGACGCCATGCATACATACACTAGCACCGTACAAACCAAAGCTATATGGGACACGGAAGCCCACCATACGATATGAGTTTAAACAATGCTAGCGAACTTGTGCCAATGGCGGATAACGATCATCTGAGCATGTGCAGATCATTTACAAGTGCTATGTTGAATTGATAGGGTAAAATCACTTCAGCAATTAGACACTTTGACCGAGTGGTTAAGGTGCTGGCCTGCTAAGCCAGTGGGTTCGCCCGCGTGAGTTCGAATCTCACAGGTGTCGGATATCTCTTTTTGTCGAACTCACCAGTTATCCTCTCCAACATTCTTCATCACATCGCTCGAATACTCCTTGCGATACACGACGGCTGAAGACACGCGTCGAACCAGCTGGCCAGGCCCGAGCAGCGGTGCTGCCCTGACCCCACACCACGGCTCGGATGGGCCCGATCCAAGGAAAATGGGAGCACGGGAAGCCGAATACGGGTACTGCGAGCCTCCCGCCGTCTAGGCTGGCCGCTACGTGATGTAATGTTTCTCTCTCTCTCTCCTCGACCGACGAGTACAGTACACACTCGCTAAGGCGGAGCTGCACGATTCTCGCACCACAAAAACATAACAAACTTCCCTGAATGATCACAAGAATGACATTCATGTATCAGAAGCTCGCAGCCCATACCGTGCACCTTCCGTGGCTACACGGACTCAATGACCTTACTGACTAGGTCACCCAGCGTTTCAACACCCGACTCGAATCTCTCGTGCGTTGCACAGCATCGTCGAGCAACCAGTAGTACATTACTCTGGCGAATTGGACAGATATTACCTAGGAATGTCCATTCGACATTCAAATGAAATTGCACGCGCGTGACAGGTGCCGCAGGACAGATGTATGCGACTAACCCGCCAACCAGCTCCATTAAAGGCATACTCGAACCAACAGCCCCTTAAAAAAGGATGCCATTCTCCCAGGCATCAAACCAAGGCCATCTCACCGGTCTTAACACAGAGAAGGTTTCATGGCACTGAAGAGTGAAATAGCACGACGTGGCGCATTCCCGCAAGGATTAGGACGTCGCAGACTAGACAGCCCGCAAGCACAGACGGAGGGGTGGTGGTATGTGATATCCTCAAGATCATGGCCGACGAAGAATTATACAGCTGGTAGACACGAGTCCGTACTTCCCCTTCTCTCCCT